TCAAGTATAGAATATTTCGTAAGCAAAAAGGAGGCATCATATGATAGTCCAATATAGGTCCATTAACATGTCTATCATTAATATGTGACACATTTAAAAGTAAAACAACTCAGAGTAAGTTGACTCCAGTCTATCTTGTTTACTGTAGATTAATATGAGATGGCGACAATTTCTATGGACAATTCAATGGAACATGATATTTCTATACTTTATCAGTTAGTTATTTTTCAATGTGTATATTTACATTTTATTTTGAGAGTTACTACGAATAATGATAATTGGAAAATTGTGAATTATGTACACATACACTTTATAAATAGAGTTTATCACTCATCATAACTACATAATATAAATGTTATTAATGAATATACTTACAAGAAGTCTGAAAAATGTATCTATCCTTTTTCAGATTTGATGCTCTAGATAAGGAATTGATGCTAGGTATACTGACCAGGAATATAATAAAAGTTTGAAAGATTAACCGACAAGCAATGATAGATATTTGCTAGTGATGGAATCTAGGACGGGCCTTTCTTCCTATTTGGGACTCATCATTTGGATATGCCTGTCTCTCAGAGTCTATATTCACATTGGGATTGGAAACTATAACCATTCACTTCAAGCGCCATCGCGTTATCCACTTAGCTACTGAGTCCTGATAGCGACCTGCTTGAGCAATCGAGTGAAGTTTAAATTCAATTGATATTATTTACTTGAATCTCATTGATGTTTAGTACTGCAATCGATCAGTATGTTGCTAGCATGTATGCTTAGCGTGGACTCTCAATCAACATGAGAACCCGTATGCCAGAACTCCCGGTCCTACGAAATCCTGCACCCTGGCCCTCAAATAGCTAGATTACAGGCGCACGCCACCACGCCCCCATACATAAATTTAATGAATTAAAATTCAAATAGAATAATAATATGATACTTTTATAATAACCAAGTAAACATTTTGTTTTACTAAAATTAAATTATAAACATAAACTCAATAAAAGAAAATGTTTACAAATTTTCTTTCTTTTTAAATACAAATAAAATTTAAGAATTAGAAAAAAAATGAAAAAAACAAACAAAAAAAACAACAAATTTACACATTCTTTATGAAACAGTATTTGCAAATAATCAATAATCCATGTTCTATTAAACAGTGTTCTATTTGTTAAATGTCAAGTAACCTAGTAATTCATATGGATTGTGCATAGTATTATTATTATTATTATTTTTATTAATATTATTATTATTATTACCAGTTACTAAGCGAGTAAAATATTGTTTTACATCAATATCATTGAATGAATGATCGAAATAAATTGTGGTTTAAATATAAATTATATCTTAGATTTTCTTTTTTTTAATTTTCCAGGTATATAAAAACTGATTTCATTTAGTTGGGTTTTATTTAGATAAACAAGTTTGTATTATGTAATAAGAGGTACTATTAGGAAATATTCAAATTAGTTTTTTGTATCTTTTGATATGATATTACATTTCTTTAGTTTTATCTTGGTTGTTTTTTTAGTAATTTTGTGACATGCGTATCGGATTTTTTTCTTCTTTCCTTTCTTTTTTTTCTTCGTTTCTTTTTTGAAAATGTCAAAACAACACAAGTATTATATTTATGATAGGCTCTGGAATATTTTATACTTTATCATTATGTTACTTATTAGTAATATATTGATTTCATTGAAATTTACTGAATGAAATTTTACAAGTTCTTGAAGAGTAACACAATAGGAGGAAACAGCATTCCAGTGCTTCCAGGTTTTCCATGGTAGTCTATCTTCAACTGACACATGATCTCAACCATTGAAAATCAATATATATATATATATATATATATATATATTAATCAATAAATTTTTCTTTGTTCATATTATCATAGACAATGTTTAAAGCTAAAGATTATAGATACTTATTTAGTTTAATCAAATAAGTTTATCAGTGATTGATTTATGTTAGATTGTGTTACAATTGTTAGATTAACACTTTGATTTTTAACTGTAATTTATCTACTGATTCCTATCATATGAATGTAATAATTAGATTAAGATTACTGTTCAGATAGGATAATTATTGATATAAACGTGATTAAAAATTTGATGGCTAAATTTTTCTGTTGATTTTAGTGTGCATTATGTTTCAATACTATTCAGTAAACAAAGGGATGTATTCGGACTTGGTATTTTAGCTAAAAATACGTTACTTCAAGCGATTTGAATGATTTGTTTTGTGCATTAAGTACATTAAATTATTAATTTATTACTAAAATACAGTTCAATCGTTGCATTCAGATTTTATTATGGACTCGATACTTTAAAAACACAGTTTACTTTATATTTTGATATTGTTTTAGTGAGTTATAAATATGTGCTTTAGTACAAGTGTCAGTGTTTATTTATAGTTTTGATACCTGTTTTTCATGGAGTCATGACATTTTTTCCGTTGAGAGAATGACAAGTTGAATTCACCAGTCGATTTAAGCTAGAACACCATTGAAAAACAGGAAGCACTGGGCGACCGTTTGATCTTAGTATAGAACTTCCTCAGCAATAAGCTTCCACTACCCCGCACGTGGTGTTCGAACCCACGGCCTTCGGGCTCGCCCACAAACTCTAAGCCTCTAGGCCACTGATCCAGCAATCAACGTTGTTGATATCTAACTAGTAAAACTACTACAATCTCCACATATCTCATTCTGATCATAGTCATGTACTCACTAGTGACTAACTTTGAGAGGTATTTCCTGGAGTTCTAGTGAGAAGCCGTGACCAATAGAGTCCAATCCATGGCGGATTGAGACCGTTATCCACTTCAGATAATGGATGAATGGTTGCGCAGCTATTCATGGATCGATTGAACTTAGACATTAACACTGTTTGATACCGCCTGGCTCTGTAGTCTAGGGGTTAAGCGTTCGCTTTCAAGGTCAGAGGATCTGAATTCTAGTCCTGCATCCTGGATCGTGGATGTGCACTGTTGAGGAGTCCCATACCAGGACAAAACGGCCGTTCTGTGCTTCTAGTCTTTCAATGATGGTCTAGCTTACATCGACCCAAGAATTCAACTATTAAAACCACCATAATCTTGACAAACACCATTCGTATCAGAATAACAATTATCAGCTTTTTCATAATCACATCAGATAACCATGTCACTAGTAGCATATCAGCATTTTGTCCAGGCATCAAAGATACCAACCACCTATATTATTGAATAGTTCAGATAAAACATAACAATAAAACTAACAATGTCCATATCAATATTTGAACCAAGTAGCTGAATATCAATCATTTTATTAGCATAAATCGATCATTGATCATTGAAAACAATTTAAACGATTACTTTACACAAACACGTTTAGTAAAATGAAATTTTTATAATGTATTTTATCACATCAAATAAACATAAAAACGAGCTTTTATACCTTGATCTGTTTTTTCTAATCAAACTTTTTATCAATAGCAAAACCATAATTCTTTAATATCAATATGAGTATGTTCAATGAATGTTATATACTTTAAGCAAATGAGTACACATAGTAATCTGTGCTACTGATTTACATAGATATAAGTAGTATGTATCATCAGTCGAAATAGAAATAACCGGTAGTGGAATGTTAAGAAGATCATAGAAAAGAGAACAAGAACAGTAAACGATTATTGTAAAAATGAAGGAACAGTAAACTTTGAGACGATTGATTGACATTTTACAAATGAAGTATTTACTATATGATTCTCTGATTTTACTAAGATGTTCAGTCATTTTATATTTAATTATATTCGATTGTCCCCATTTGTATTCTCATTTATTACAACATCACATGTTACAATTCCCATTTGAATAGATTTACACAATAGAAATTAATATAATACATAGTTACATATAAATTGGTCAAAATTAAAATATAACGAATCGTTTTTTTTTTAAAATTAAATTCGTCCACGCATTCTTATTAGAAATCTTTTTTTTAATTTTTTTTCTCTTTACGGATAGTAACTAACTTACCAGATTTTTTATACCATGATCCATTCACTACGTTTTTTTAAAGCGGAAAAGGGAATTCACACTACGTAATCAATTTTTTTCTTCAGAAAACCTTTGTACGAAAATTAATTAAATATTGATGTAATATAAAATCAGTGTAGATTCAACTGACTGATGAATTCAACTATTAAACTACTATAATATCCACAAAAACGTTTTCTTTGATTGATAATCAACATATGCTCACTAGTGACAGTTTTCAAGAGGTATTCCCTGAAATTCTAATGCGAAGCTGTGACTAGTAAAGCTCAACTGGGTCTATTGTGTGATAGCAACTTACTGATTACAATAATGGACGATGACTTAACTTCTTGAATTGGTTGAACTTAGACATTAACATAGTTTGAATTCAGCAAGAAGTATAATCATGTTAGAACTCAGAGAAGTTTATTTTTATCACTTTTAGCTCATTATTAATATAATAATTCATGTGTAATTATTACAATATTCATTAAGATTGCTTTAGTTAATGTCACTTCATGAATAAAACAATCTTCAGATCTGGGAATATGTACCTGGGTAGAGTTGAGATTTAAATTGATTAGGAAATAAAATTTTGAAATGTCACTGTCTGTAGTGTAACCACACTCTATCGTCTCTCAAACATTATATTTATTGCTGACTTCGGAAATATGTAGGAAAATTGAAATGGAAGTTATTTCATGAAATGATGCCATGGAACATAGCATGTTGAATTATTATCCGTTGGTGTGTAACAATGTCGTTGACAAGTTTCCAGAGATCATCGAATTCAGTAACTTGGTATTAAAACGGAAATGGCTAAAACTAAAAGCTGCTAACGATCATGTTTGTACTTACTATATCGCTTTTCAATAATATTAAACATCTTTGATATCGGATTGCTTACTTACGAATTCTAAGTCTTTCATGTATTAGTCGATAATATAATAAGTGCATTTTTCATTTATTTGATTTATTCTCCTTTGTAGAACATTCTCATCATCCATAAATGTGAACACAATAACTTCAAAGTCAAATGATTTTGAGTCTTCTAATGATTTATCAAAGAGTCCACTTTTATTTTCATCAAGATTTCAAACATCAATGTATGAAAGTAATAAAGATTTCAAAGAAGTACGTTTTATATGTGAAGATTCTAGTAAACGGGACTCAGTGAATACCGATGAAACTATTATTAATACTGATACTACTAACAATAAACAAGTAGTTAACACAAATAATCATAAAACCAATTACAATGAGAATAACAACACTATCAGTAGTAGAAAAGAATCAGTTCATAACGATTCATCTGAGAATACAATGAAAACATTCATAATAAATGGATTTTGGCCAGGCAATCCATATTCACCTCTACCATCACCGGATATATCTATCTTAGACTCTGAATTAAATGACAGTATGTGATTTTTTTTGATATATTATTTATTTACTATACTTGATTTCACTCATCTTATATGAATTAATGTTGTTCTGATAAATAGCCCAAGGAAACATATAAATACATTCAAAGGAATGAGTTTAATTCCGAAATATATATAAACCCTTCAGACAACAATCTATTAAAATATCTTTCAACAGAAAAACTAGTGTAGTTATAAGGAATATAAGTCCGTACTACAGTATATAGCTATTAATGATATTTTATGATATTACATACATGAAATAGTCATATTATGTAATGATTAAATAAGCACACTTTTGAACTTCCTTTTATAAGTATACTGTTGTTTATATGTTTCAATTTATCTGAGTATAATATCACGTAACCTACTGTTTATTCATTTTATAATTGAAATAAGCTATTTTTCCACGCTTCATATCCGTTCGTTACAATTAAATGTATTTTTTGTGGTTTATGGGTGAAATGTTCATGTTTATTTCTGGATTTTCTCAATGAAAAAGTAAACTTACTACAGTAATGACAAATTCCCTGAGGAATCCCATCATAGGACGAAACGAAATGCCACTATATCCAGGTTTTTAAAGATAGTCTGAAATCGACCAGTTCATGATTTTAATAAAACTCGAAAATCTCGACAAACTTAAATTGATAATTTAAAATCAGACTAATTAATAACTCAGTAAGATAATAAAAATTATGGCATTATAACTGATATCAGTTCATGATGCAAACCCTAAATCTAATTATTTACTCTAACTATTAACTGTAAATAATGATCCTAATTCCTCATACTGGTTTATAACACTGATTTGACCGTAGTATGTACATGGACATTCTCAAAATCTCTTTAGCGTCGCTCAAAAGTCGTTCATAATTTATAGTTTCACTCAATATATTTTTTAAAATTCTGATTACAATGTATTATTCACAGTATTTAGTTGTAGACTAATTTCAATTTTATTGTAATTGAATGTCGGTTAAATACATAAGCATTTTCTTGGAGTTTTGTACTAACCCATCCAGATCAGAGTACAAAACTTCATAAAAACAATTTACTTCAGTTACAAATCTTCGGTACCAACTCAAAATACATATAGTTTATTATTTTTAATCAAAGCGATTAACGCATTTTATTGAAGACAACCTGCTGTCCATCATCTTATGCAAAAAACATACTAATAGTCAGTTAAAACTAAACCACCATGGAAAACCTGGGAGCACTGGACAGCCATTTCGCTATAGAATGAGATTACGCAGCAATGCACGTTCACGACTATGCATTCAGGACTAGAACCTAGAAACCTCCGGTCTCTCTTGCGAACACTTAACCTCTAAACCACTGAGCGGGTCGGCATCAAACGGTAATAATGTCTAACTTCAATCAATCCACGAAATTTCGCCATTGTCCACCATTGTCTATCTCACAACAGACTTGGTTGAACTTTAGTGCTCACGGTTTCTCACTAGAACTCCAGGAAATATATCTTGTAACCAGTCACTAGTGAGCACATGATGATTAATAATATTCATTTAACAATTATATATATTTCTATATGTTGAGACCGCCGATTACAGAGCAGTGAATTATCGATTGGATCAAGGAAGCGTAAGACACGTGCGAGCAGCCTGGAGTTCTGATTAGTCCTGCTTTCCGCCTAGCCCAACCAGTTAAGTCTAGAACGCCAATCTCAGCCTCTGCAAAATGAATCTTATTATTTCAAGCATACTGAGTTTATATACCAATCAAGCAAACCACAACGTAGCATTTGTACAAATTTTGGCTAAATGTGGCTGTGGACGTAGGAGGTAGTGATTAATAGACAGGGTATAATTCAAGAATGGAAAATCGTATAATAATAGTTCATAGGTTAAGATAAAGCTTATGATAAGAGAGACATGAATATGAACAGTTTAGTTAATTAACAATTATACAATAAAATTATACGTATAGTATTGGTCCATAAATGGATCCCAAAAATTACCACTCATTATTCTTATCGGGGCACAACATTAATATATATATATATATATATATATATATATATATATATATATTTCATGTAAGATGATAACATTTTTTGTATTAATCCAATTTTATGAATAATCTTGACAATTGGTTGATTACAATAATCATAAATAATCAAAATTTCAACACTCAGTGCATCGTTTCATTAATTTCATTCCCAATTGAGGCCTATTGAGGATAAGTTTTAATAATGTCTATTGTTAAAAGTCGAAGAGATAATCTCGATGGCTGTTAGTATCGAATTTCAGAATGATTGATTCGTCCGGTGTGAAAGTGATCATCTAGATAAAGCTATATCACTGATAATGATCACAATGATAAAAAACGATGTACCTGGCATTTCAAATGTTGAGTCTTAACAACTACAAAAATACTTCATAGTAGTTTCAAAAAAATGGAACTGTATCTTCAGTTAAATAGGTTAGTTCAAAAACATGTAATCTTAGTACTTGAAAGGCCAATAAAATTCATGCGTTGATGTGCACTGCTGAGGAGTCCCATACCAGGACGAAATAGCTATCCAGAGCTTTCAGGATTTCAATAAACGTCTAGCTTAGATTGATTTATGAATTTCACGGTACAATGGGCAGTCAGATAACCAACTTTTTATCAGATATGTCTCAAAATATTTCAATCTATATAAATAGTGTAGAACTTAAACAAGGTGATATAAGTGTACATTGTTCATGAGCCACAAATTGTATGAATTATAATTAACTGATTTAACTGCTAGTCAAATTTCAAATATTCTGCATTTTGTGGAATATATGTTTCATTGTCCTTCAAATTATTTGGTTGTTCCAACTGTCACAGGGAAGATCATTCGAATTCATATAGGTTACTAATCGCATCAGTCCACTGATCCTAAACTCAATAGTTTTTCAAATAGGAACATCAGTGTTCAGCGAAATTCACCACCTTGGATTTTGAAAATTCAAATAAGTTGGCTTGTATGTCAATCAGTGATTGACTCTAGGAAACAGCATACATAATTCATCAAGACACTTATTTAAAACCATTTAATGTTTAATAACTGACCGATGGGCGACATAGTGAATTATTCACATGGTAAACGAAATCACTCATAGTAATGGAAACTACATACAGCAGACAACAATCAACAGTTCCACATACAAAGATAAAGTCTTGACTTATTCTCACACGTAGCTATGACAACGTCAGTGAAAACTCAAGTTAAGCAAACCATCTCACTACTATATTCATATATTTATGCATGAGAAAATCTCTACAATCAAACACATATGTAGAAGCATTAAATAGTAGACGCATCATATCATCAAGGGAATATTCATTTATTATAAATATGTGCATTGGAAGAAGACAACAGTTGAATGTCACCAGTGGAGTGTTCACATGCATACACATTTACACACACACCACTATACGAAACAACGAAACTACAAACATCTTATACTTTGACGTTAACCAGTAGTAGATGGTAAAAACAGAAATGAGTGAATTTATCTAATTATATCTAATCACTCGACTGAAATGATGTCTTCTCACTATTTACACATTTCTACTGAGTTTAGTGAAAATTAGTAACTTCATTATACATTGATTATGGTCATCATAGTTATTACCGTTGTCTACATAGATTCATCTTACCATTTGCAAGTAAATCTAAACGTCCTAATTGCGTCATTCTTGTCAATGATGAAGTGTTTTCTGTGGATTCAATGTCAGATTTTGTCGTTTACTCAAATTGTTATCATCACTGTTATTATTTTTGGAATAAGTTTTAGAAAACATGATGACGGTAATAATAATAATAATGGTAATAATAAACATTTTTGTGTTCTTCACCCTGTTATGTTGCTTAAACAGACACATTGTATCAAGGGTATTGTTCCAGCACTTTCAAATTAGGATGGATTTTATGTCAACTGATAGTGTCACAACGATACCCAGAGCAAACATCAACTCTGTGATGCAGGTACATCTAGCTGGCGAATCCTAAATGTGGCGAAAAATGAGTCCTGTATTTCATTGATAGTCACCGTTCATCTCTGTTTAGAATATAATTAGTCAGTTATGTAGATTTTTGTTCATTAACAAGTTCCCTACCATCGGTTTCAATATCATATTGAGTTTCACTTATAGATTAAATATATAGATTATCAGGGTAGTTTTTAAAATCGTTCCAGGTAGAATGGATCATAACAGTTCACAGTAGAGTAAAAGTACCTACCCTTTATCTCACACGTGTTTCTGAATTCCAGTACTCCGTTATGTACACCTTTTCAATCTGTCTTTTCAAACCATATCTCCAAGGTTGTCTTTATTTTCATCATTACCACTACGTTATTTCACTCTGTCTTGCTATTTTTGCATCTCTTCTTGGTAATCATATGTAGTTTAATCTGCTAATACGTATTTTTGCTAGGCTCTGTGTTAATGCTGTCTACCTGTCAATCATTCATGATATCAGTGAACTATTCATAGGACAAAACTATCACTAGTTAGTCAACGTGCTATAATAAATAAACAACTACTAAAAATCTAAAACATTTTATATAATTGTTAAAATTCGGGATTCATTAGTATAATCCTAATAACGTATTAAATTATAGGCCATAAAATCTAACGGAGAGAACATGATACCACTATTATTATTGAGCCGCTCAATCGAAATCTATAGTTTAGGACTCCAATCGACTGGCTTTAGAATATCTCCAATATTCAGTTATGTTGATAACAACCATTCAACTTCGTCGGCCTCATTTAACAGTATTTCAAACCCTACTGTAAAATAATTTATGGTGAGACTATAATTTATGGCGACGTTTGAGCGACGTTAGACTGACCTTGAGAGTATCCACTTAATAACCAGAATCAAATGAGGGTTATAAACCTGTGTGAGGAATTAGAACTATAATTTACAGTTTATGATTAAGATTAGGAAATAGATTTCGGGTTATTAAGACTAACTGACATCAGCTATAAT